TTGTGGGATTCCTGAAGACGTGATGTGCCCTCACAGGCCTGTACAGGCCAGCTCCAGCATACGTTCCACGTCAGTTATCTTGCTGCTGAAGGGGCCCACCTTTCGGAACCTTATGACTGACACTGTCTTGCTGTCTTTGAGATCAGCGCCGTCCCTTCTTTTAGCGTTCCTCCCACAGGAACCCAGCACCTTGCCTGCTTCCAGGGCCTTGTCTGTCCCCACGCCGAGGGTCGCTCCTTCCCATGCCTCCGATGCTCTTCTCTGCCCCATCCAGTTTGTCCCTGTCATGGTACTGTCCCCAGTTAAAGGCAGTTACCGTCTCCAGTTAAAGGCAGACCCCAGACCTGACTAGTATGTTGGAGCAAGGAGAGACTCTCAGCAAGATGGTAGGCTTAATGCAGAGAGAGAATCCTTGATCTAGAAAAGAAGATTTATTCTTAGGACTCCAGGATAGAAATCTAAGTGGAAAATAAATTTTTTTTCCTGATTATTAGTAGGTACATAAAGATGATTTTAGTTCTATTCATAGTTTATCTACAATGTAAATGAGTTAAAGATGGGGAACGGAGACCATAGCTACCGTTTAAAGCTATGTAAGTGATTGATGCATGTCATTTAGAATTACAATGCATTTATCTATCGGGGATCACCTGTGAGTTACAAAATGAGGCCTGGTGTAGATGGCACTTTCCGTTAGTTCTTGTGTCATCTGTCAGCAAAACTAGTTAGGACCCTGGAGAAATGGTCAGGTTCACGGATACATTTCTCATGAAAGAAAAAACATGGGATTATTTTTGTAATAATACGCCATGGTTTTTGAGTTCAGATTACTGGAGAAATGCAGATATAGATGCATTCTCTTCTTGGGATTGGGTCAAACTAAAATTTTCATCAAGAATGTCTTGGAAGTTTTCCTTGTTAATAAGTTATCTGTTATAGATAAAAACACAACAGACGTGTTAACTGGTTAGTAGCCTGGATTGGTTGACCTGTCTGTTCCTCGGGGCCAGCCTGTCCTTCCCCTGAGCAGCAAGATCCATCACCAGGGTATCTCTTGGGGAAGGTGTGATCAAAACGACCACCTCAACTGAGCTTCTTACTTAGACCTGTTTTCCATTTTTATTTTTTAATCGCCTTTTTTAAGGCCATCTCAAATAGTTCTAAGTGTCTGGTTACTACTGCAGTAAAACAGGAGTCATGCGGCTGAAATGCGGAGTCCAAGTGTTTATTGTTTGCTCCTAGCAACTTTATCAGAGTGCTGAGAATATTCCTTCATGGAGAACAGATGCTTTAATTCCAGATGCCTTCAGAACCTAAACTTCAAGTGAGTTTGAGGTGAATTAGGCTTCTGTGTTCACTTCTATTTAATATTGTGGGTAGCTGACTCAGTGTTTAAAAAAAAAAAATTGAGCTATGGAAGCAATTTAAAACTTACTTTTGTCTTGGGAATGAAAAAAGAGGTTGATCCTGAAAGCTTTGTTAAAAGGAATTTCAACTGCTTATTAGCCATCCCTTCTGACCGCAGTTAAGAGAAGGCCCCAGGTGTCGCTAGTGTCTTGGGCACAGAAAGTTGCCTGGCAAGATGTTGGGGCTTTTGTGGAGAGGACCTTTTTGATTTTGAAAACAGATGTATTCCTTGAATTTCAGGTTAGATATCTAAGTGAAAAACATACTTTTTTTCCCCTGCAAAAGTCCACATTGTAAATAGTTGAGGCGTGCAGACTCTGTGATCTCTTTTGAAATAAGTCAGCTTTTCAGTGGGCTTCCTTGCTAGCTCAGGCGGTAAAAAAGCTGCCTGCTAATGCAGGAGATGCAGGTAGGAGACTCAGGTTCGATCCTTGGGTCATTGAAGATTCCCTGGAGTAGGAAATGACAACCCACTCCAGTATTCTTGCCTGGGAATCCCAGAGACAGGAGCTTGGCGGGCTACAGTCCACAGGGTCGCAAAGAGTCAGATACAACTTAAGTGACAGAGCAAAGTCAACTCTTTGATGGCCCGTTGTATTGCGAAAGTAGCCACAGACACTGTAAACAAAGGACATGACTGTGTTTCAGTAAAATTTTACTATGGATACCAAAGTTCGAATGTCATAGCATTTTCCCGTGTCACTGTGCGTGAGCCACGCACAAACCAGCAGGGGCCTGGGCCTGGCCCATGGCTCTTACTTGCCAACCTGTGCTCCAAAAAGGACACTTCAGAACTTTGGGTAGCATTTTTTTTTTCCAGTTTATAGTGATATTTCAATACCTTGAAAAATTGATTCTTCTTTGTATGCTGCAGACATTTTAACTGGTTGTAGTTTTATCATGCCAAAGGATAGTTTACCAGCCTCAATTTTTCAAAAATGTTTCCAAAATAGGGGCTTATGAGTCCTAAGTGTGTGTGTGTGTGTGTGTGTGTGTGTGTGTGTGTTTAAATGCTAAGTCATGTCCAACTCTTGCAACACCATGGACTGTAGCCCACCAGGCTCCTCTGTCCATGGGAATTCCTAGGGAAGAATACTGGAGTGGGTTGCCATTTACTTTTCCATATATATACATACGTGTGTGTGTGTGTGTATTTGTATATATGTATATATATTTCCCTTCCCCGGTGGCTCAGCAGTAAAGAATCTGCCTCCAGTGCAGGAGACACGGGTTCGATCCCTGGGTTGGGGAGAGCCCCTGGAAGAAGGCATGGCTACCCACTCCAGTATTCTTGCCTGGAGAATCCTGTGGACTGAGGAGCCTGATGGGCTGTAGTCCATGGGGTCACAAAGAGTTGGATGCAACTGAAGCAGCTTGGCACTCGCGCGTGCGCATGTGTGTGTACACACACACACGCATAAAGATACACACACACACACACATTTATGTATTCTTTTCAGCCACTTAGAAATGTAAAGCCTTTCCCGGCTTGTGAGCCACACACGAACGAGAGTGCTGGACCTGACCCATGGCTCACACTTTGCCAACCTGTGCTCTGAAAAAGGGAACTTTAGAACTTGCAGTAATTTTTTTTTTCAGGTTATAGTGATATTTCAATACCTTGAAAAATTGATTCTTCTCTGTACGCTGCAGACATTTTTCTGGTTGTAGTTTATTATGCCAAAGGATAGTAAACATTTTACCAGCTTAAACTTTTCAAAAAACATTTCCAAAATAGGGACTTAGAAGTTCTAAAGTTTAAATAGTGTCTGAAGTCAGTGGTAATGCTGTTGTACTGACCGTGCTATTCCTGTGTTAGGGTGCTTGGGAACTTTCCGGTTCATCAGTCTTGGTAGGTTACAGCTTATTTGTAGTTCATTCTGACTTCTTAACAGCAGACTGGAACCCATGTTGGACACAGGGCACTGCATAGAACTCTGGGAAAAAATTAGAGAGAGGCACTGGGAACTACTTGGAATTCAGAGCATTCCTATTACTAGCCTTGATCCCAAGTTTGATTTTCAGATGTTTGGTTTTCATTAAGGACTGAAACACTACCTGCTTCTCTGTTCTGCTGCTGGCCATTAAGTTGTGGCCACAGAGTGGCATGGTTCTTTAATTGGCTTTATTACTGCTAATGTAGAAAGGGAAAAAATGCTGTAAGTAATGAGAATTCGCCCCTATTTAATGGTCAAATGGCCTGACTTTCTCTTAATTAGATTTTCCATAGCACATCATTAAAGATGTACACAACCTAAGCCTCAGTGCTTTAAAGTCCTTTGTTTATGGTTACCACATAAATTATATAATGTTTTGGAGAATGGTAATTAGGACTTTATTTCATAGAATAAATTTAATTTAGCCACTGATCTCAGTTAAAAAAAGATTAATCTATAAAAATTGCTGGAAGAGGGAATTCCCTGGTGGTCCAGTGGTTTGGGACTCAGCTTCCACTGCAGAGGGCGTGCGTTCAGTTCCTGGTTGGGAAACTTAAGATCCCGCATGTTGCGTAGTGTAGCCAAAAAAAAGTTGTTAGAAGATGATTGAAAATGATAGTTGCAGCCCCGTGAACTGCCCACCAGGCTCCTCTGTCCATGGGATTCTCCAGGCAAGAATACTGGAGTGGGTAGTTCTTCCCTTCTCCAGGGGATCTTCCCGACCCAGGGATCGACCCCAATTCTCCTGCATTGCAGGCAAATTCTTTACCAGGAAGAAGATAATCAGCAAGTGAAGGATGAAGATGTCTTAACTTATAAATAGTTGCAGAGTCACAGGCAGAGTTACTAGGATTAGATTTATGGCTTGATGGAGGAGTGGGATAAAGAAGAACAGCAATTCCAGATGGTCCGGAAACACACATTGTTGGAAAAGCAATCCTCACAGGTTGAGAGTCTTATCCTAGGCTGAGTGGTGAATGTGTTTCAAGAGTTCTCACATGTTAGCTGTAAGAAGAGAAGGTATTATCTCCATTTATACAGTCAAGAAAACTGAGATTTAGAGGATTTAAGTAAAATCTTTTTAGATGGAGTTTAAAGCCAGATTGGTCTTGAGCCCAAGTCCTTTGCACTCTACTGCTTCCAGGCCAGCTCTTTAGAGGCACTCCATATTTACTGGAGAACGGGTAGACTTGGCAGTGACTTGTGGGATGTAGAGTTTAGAGAGTTATTGCGGCAAACAGAACACAGAGGTTAAAGGGCATTCGAAGTATAAGGATGTAGCTGTTTAATATACTTCCTCCATCCTCTCTGCCTTATTTTTAGATTTTCCTGGAATTTTTACAGAACTTTTTAAGGGAGCCGTTTTATGTTCTTTTAAAAAATTTTCCAAGTAAATATCCCAATATCTTGTTGGTTTACTTGTTTTTCTCATCACCTCCACTAAAATGTAAGCTGAAAGAAGACAGATTGTTTCGAATCCTCAATGCCTAGACCACTTCCCAGCACATTAAGGGCTCAGTCAGTATTTGTATAAACTTGCTAGAATGGGTGCAGTTTGTGTGATACATTGATTTCCCTTTCAGTTTGATGTTTTGTAAAAAATCAGCTCCCCAGGAGAACCTTACTAATGCAAACCTGCTCTCTCGCCTTTCCTAGGGCGACTGTGTTGTTACTGTACTGCTCGCGGAAGAGGACAAAGTTGAAGATGATGTAGTTTTTTACTTGGTGTTTTCGGGTTCCACCCTCCACCACTGTACAAGTACTCGGAAGGTCAGTTCTAATACGCTGGAGACCATTGCTCCTGGTAAGTATTTGAACACAATCTTCACCCGCCTTTATTCTGTGTTCTAGCATAGAGTGGTAGGAAGAACAAATCAGGGTGATGAAACTGCAGTTGCATCTTTGTTTTAAATGTACTTCATTTTGTTTATTTCTTGCTTGTTGCACAAAATCTGAGCCTGACTAAAAATAATTGAAATAGAATGGTGTCATAAATTAGAAGACAGTCGTTAAGATCAACAAAAATTTTCATTTATTGGAATGTTGAGGCAAAGTAAAATACATTTAAAAGATAAAAATTCATGCAGTCACTGTGTGTGACTACAATTTTGATTCTGACTTTCATTGTGGCAAAAGAAAAGGTAAAAAATGCGATTGCTAATACATTCCTTCGTATCTGTGAGGGGAAGAGCGTAAAAACCAAAGTTCCCCCAAATGAACAGATTATTGTTCATGGTGAAATGAATACTTAATCACTGTTGCATTTATCCGTTTAATGGAAGTAAAAGGAAACTGTGTACTTGTTAAAAATCCTTTGCAAAGTCATTATATCATTGCTAATTCCACCAGAAACGGCTTTTGACCGATTCCAGGCATCTAAAGGTATACTGATTTGTGTTTGGAAATGAACTTATTCTGTCTTTCCTCAACCTTGCTTCAAAGTTAATAACTGGTTAAATTTCATCTGAGTACAAAAGAGGGGACATTTAGGGGGAACCCATAAAAAGTGTTGACAGTTGAACCATTTGCTTTCAGAGAACAAAATGGATTCCGTTCTTCCCGGAACTTTTCTTGTCTTCAGTGTTTTTATGTAACATCGATTCCACTTTTGTTGAAATAGATGATGTTAAAAACCGCCCGCTTTCGGTTGCTGCTGTGCCGTTTTACATAAACTGACTTCACTTCTGATGCCTGCCAGGTCCCAGAAGTTGCACCACTCTCACGAGCTGAGACTCTGACAGTTAAAAGCGGTATTTATCCTCCTCCTTGACAAAAGTGACTTTGAAAATACAGAATTTAAAGGTTTTGGCAATTCCGATGTATATTCCCCCTCAAACTTTAAGGGTTGGGAGAGTGAGGAAGTTCAGCAGAGGCACTGATTGTTTCTTCTTTCCCCTAAAGAGTGTTACGCATCCTCCTTTGTAACTTAGAGCCCCAGTCGTCTTGTTCCTGTGATGGATGTCATGTCAGAGGGTCTCATCTGGAGCTTGCAGTCTGCTGAGCGGGAGCTATCCAGGGTCGCCCCTGCTGGGCACATCTTCTGTGTGCGTGGCAGTGAGCACCAGCCCCTCAGCGGGGTATTAGAGACGCAGTCAGTGCCTGACTGCACTCTTATTAGGAAAGCAATGAGGATAACTTTTATAAACTTACTTTTCCTCCTGATTTAGAAGTACCATATCAGTTTGTGTGTTTGTGGATGTGTAGATGTATAGATACGACGTGTGTGTGTATAGGTAGGTAAGATAGCAAGAAAGCCTGCAAGCAGATACCAGGAAAATGGGTTTCCCTGGTGGCTCAGATGGTAAAGAATACACCTGCAGTGCAAGAGACCCAGGTTCGATCCCTGGGTGGGGAAGATCCCCTGGAGAAGAGAATGGCAACCCACTCCAGTTTTCTTGCCTGGAGAATCCCCATGGACAGAGGAGCCTGGTGGGGTACAGTCCATTGGGTCGCAAAGAGTCGGACACGACCGAGCGACTCACCCAGAGGAAGGACAGCTGTTAGGACGTAGCCCTGTGTCCTCAATGCCACCCTCAGCCACAGCAGGATCCAGCCTCTTGGGGGAGAGGGCTGTGCCTGGCCGCCCTGATACCTTCAGTGTGAAGGTACTAAGTTAGTGTGGGCTGCAAGCGGTTACTGCCTTCGCTTCACAGATCCACTGTATCGTATGACAGCCAAGCGCTCAAAGTTCTTACCAGATCCTTGTATGCTGTCCCCAGCCTACTTTTTCAACCTCGGTTTCCATTCCCCCCCCTTGCCTCTGGGCTGCCACCTCTGTAATAAGTCTCAGGACCCCTTCTTTCCCAGCCCCACACATCACTGGGTGTCCTTTTGTACCAGTCGGCTCTGGGTACCCTCGTTCTGCTGGCTCCAGCCCGCCAGAATGGATATTGTATTCTGCCCTTTCTCCCTAATTTGATCCAAATCCTCAGTACCTTCCTGACCCCTTTGATTGGAGTTTGGAATCCCAGTGCCTGGCCTTTCCTAGTTTGCCTCTCAGCAGCTCTCCTCCCCTCAAATTATGATCTTACCTAGTGCCATCTTCTCTCAACTTGTCCCCTCTGCTCCCCGCTGGCCTGCATGTTCTGCAGCCCGCCTGATTCAGTCAGGCTGCCACATGAGGCCCTTAATCCCAGCGGAGGTGACAAAGGATTCCAGTCCTTGAAGACCCCGTGGTCCGAGCAGGCCGAATGAAGAGCGAGGCGCCGCCTGAGCCTTGGGTGTCTGCGCAGGGGTCCCCGGGAGCCTCCCTCCTTGGCGGAGGAGGACCCCTGTTAGCTACTGAAGCGGGAAAGACTTCTGAGGGGATCTCACCGCTCTGGTCCTCAGGTGTGTGGTTTTTCCTCTTCTCTTGTCTTTTTCAGCTGCTGTTGTCCAGACTGGCTCAGCAACTGTTGTGGAGGAGTGGTGAGACACAGGCAGATTTGGGGATTCATAGGCTAATTTTGAATTTCTTGTTTATATTACAGAGTTAATATTTTCGTGAAGAAGTAAACGGCCTTAAATCTGCCTTGGGGGATTTCTTTGACTTGTTTCTTATTTTCCTTGAGGTCGTACTCAGATAATCACCTTCTCAGTGAGGCCTTTCCTGTCCACTTTATAAAAGTTTACCTTCTCCCCCCTGGCCCCTTTTGACGCTTTACTTTTCTCCACTGCACTGATCAACTTCCCACTCATTGACAACGTTTGATTTATTTTCTGCTCGCCTCTGCTGGAGCATCAGCTTCACCAGGGCGTGGGTTCGCGTCTGTCATGTTCTCTGGTGCCACTTGATGGGACCAGGTTTTTACCATGTTGAAACTCATCCTGGTTCTCAGAAACTGCCCTGCACACACACAACGCCCCCCACCCCTTTCTTTTGCAAACTGTCAGAGGACTGTCTGGCTTCTTGAGTTGCTTTCTTGTCTGGGGGCAGGAGCCTGTGTTTTCTGTCCAGAGCTGCATCTGATGCTTTCTGTGTGTCCTGTTGATGGCCTCAGATTTTGTGCGGAGCACAGCGTCAGATTATTCGTGATTCCTCGTGGTGAGTCTGCACCTGCCTGGTGCATCCTGGTTAGAGGGGAACGCGCATGGTCTGGTCTGTCCGCTGCAGCTGCTGTTGGGGCATCCCCCCCTGCCCCCTGCTATGTGGGGCTCACTCCTCGGGTCCTTGTCTTCTGCCTGACCATGGAAGAACAAGAGCTTTGTGTCTGCAAATGTCAGGTTTCACCCAGATTGCTGGCTCTGATTTTTCTTGGAGTCCTCCATGTGTTTCACTGCCACTGTTGTATAATATTTTAGTTTTCACGAAAACGAGATGATTGATTGACCTTCCTAAGACAGCTACTCCTTGATGTTCATTCATCTGTGACCTTTTATGATTTTGGTGGATAAAGAGATGAGACATTTCTTGATAGTCCCTGAAAAAAATCTCTTTGACTCCAGATATTGAGATTACAGTCCATTGCCTCCCCCCCCCCAACACTTTTTCATATTTTCTCACTTTTTGACTTTTCTGATGATAAACTTAACAATGAATTGTATATGTATGTTTAGTTATAAAGAAATTGTAAAGCCATTTTCTTGCCTTATCACCAGAGACAGGCTGTAGACATGATACAGTCCCCCCTTTTTAAAAAATGAAATTATGTTAAGAGTAGCAACATCTTGGGACAGTTAACTGGAGCCTTAGAGACTTTATCTGCCTTTAAATTGTTTGACTGTTTTAAAGTGCATGTGTAATTTTTAACATATATAGTAATTTTTAAGAAAAACATATGAAGAGTGGAAATACTGTCCTCTCTTTTGAAAGTAAAGCTGTCTTTGTGCTAATTAACACTAGACAAAAAAGTTTTATAGTATAAGACTACATTCAAAATACCTATGAAATTGACTAGTTTAAGAATATAATTTGCTATGAAACATATGTCTAAAGACAAAAGGTGTTGCCTTTGTAATAAATAAAAATAAAATAACCTCCATTCTTTTCTCTTCATATAAAACAAATCCAACCCCAATCCCATTTTAGCAAAACAGTGATTCTTCTTGCAGGATGAGGTCAAGATGTTTTCTTTAAAAGGCTGTAGGATGAGTAAGTAATATAAAGAAATCTGAGTACCCGCCGAAGTTAATTCTGGGGGGATATGAGGTGCTGTCCTATGCTCATTTTTATTAATTAAATGTGAAGGTAGACCAAGCAAACAGGAACTGCAGGATGGAAAATGAGGCAGAGTATTCAGTGGGTGAATCCTTGTGAAAGGCTTTGGTGCAGAATCTCTCATAACATGAAATCCTAGCATCATCCCACATGTCTGTCATTTGCTTTGAGAATTCATAGCAAAGGTTCTTGTTTGACAGGAAAATAGCAAACATTCCTTGACCCAGAATTTGACTCAGCTCTTTGGTATCTTTCCTTTCTTTCTCACTTATCAGGGGAAGATACTATATAAAGCAGATTTGTTATTGAAAGGAAAGAAAAAAGTACATCTGCCATGATCAGAAGTCCTTGGGGGCTTAATTAAAAAATCTTTGCTTACAGCCACGGTCTCAGCAGGTAGCCTGCAGTGAAAGCACCGTGTCTCTCAGTTCCTGTGAACCAAGGCTCTGTATCTGCCCGTAGACGTCCCGAGGTCTCCAAATATCACTTGAGGAGTTCTAGGCTTTTCCTGGCCCAATCAGAGATGCCCTCGCGCTCTGCCAAAGTAAGAGTTACTTTTTCACTGGACGTTTTCTAAGTCTCCCTGTCCTAAGTACTCCTCTTACAAGGCTATCTCTAGACAGACGTGATTTTATATTTTAAAAGACTTACATTTCTGTCCCAATGCT